AGGCACAGAATAACTGAAAAGTGGACCTGGGGAGGAGAAGGCAAATTCTGGGCACTCACTTCCAGTAACACTGACTAACACTGACCTTTGCCTCTCTTGTCTCCTCCAGAAATCCAAATGGCTCCCCCACTCCCTTCCATCAGCTATCTGCCTAGGTATGGAGACCTACTCTGACTTTCTATGTATAATAAGTACTCTCAGCAGACTGTCTCTCTCTCCATCTCCTGCTCAAGTTTTCCTCATATCTTACCACTCCTGACATGTTATGTATTTATGTGTTCATTGTCTGTAAACTCCCTTAAGAATGCAGTCTGCATGAGAGAAAGGACTTTTATTCATTGCTATTTTCTCAACACCTAAAATAATAACTGGCTCATACTAGCTTCCCCTGTGCTCAGTGTTTGAGATGCACTCATTCATCAACTTCTTATGCCAATCAAATGAAACAGAGGCTACTTTCAATTATCCACATTTTACAAATGAAAAAGCTGAGGCTGAAAAAAGTTAAAGAATTTACCCAATGTCATGCAAGTTATTAAATGGTAAAAACCTATTAAATACAATCCAGGGCAATTTATCCATGGGTCCTGCATTCTTTCACACCCTCTCCTGCACATTGAGACTTTACCTTCCCAGTCCTCTTTCTCTGATCTCTAGCAAAGATAAAGCCAGCACTATCCTTATTTGGGGAAAATATTTAAAATTATTTTTGACTGGTAATTGTAATGTGAAATAACCACAAAACAAATTAAAAGGATAAGTACATCATAGTGCTCAAAGAAACAAAAGAGGCACAAGGTATGTATGACCAGAGGAAATCTACTCCAAAGATTTCATTCTTGTTTTATTATTAAAATACCTTTTTTTTCTCCACTTAAATGATTTCTGAGAAATACTTTGAAATAATCAACAAGTTAACAGGTTGAGAAACTCAAGCCATTTTCAAGAAATATTAGATTTTTGATCAAGCAGCACTTGTGAATATATTAGCCAGGGATGTCAGGATGGTGCAGAGGAAGGCCCCTCTTCCCCATTAAAATGACCTCTTGAGTAAGCTTGCTGGTAGCTGGGATGGCACCATTAGCTGTGCCTTGGTTTGTTAAAATACAATTCCTGAGAGAGACAGCACTTTTCAGTCTTCTCAGTCTTTTATGTAACTGTATCCAATTATTCACCAAAACAATTTTTTTTCCATGGGGAAAAAAGCAGAGAGAACAGGAGGTCCTGCATTCCTGAGTGAGGGCAGGGATCATAAAGGGGAGCAAGGAGCATGAATCGGCAGGTGTCCTGCTACTTAGCACATCTAAAGTGGAAGCTCGAATGAGTCTGCCAACAAAAATTAAAATAATTATTGAATTTTTTTCTTTGAAGGCTCTAAGAGGGCAATGACTGGACCTGTTTGTTCAGTTTGTACCCTGAGCACCTCATAAATGAGCAGTGCCTGGCATGTAGGAAGAGCTCAGTCAGTCCCCATTGGGTGAAAGAATCAGAGTTCTTGACCCCTATCTCAGGCTCTTACCTCCCCCTCTCCTGCCTTCCCATCCTGCAAGCAAAGCTCTGCCTTCTCTTTCCCACCATTGGAAGTGAATTTCTTCCTTGAGTTCTCCCAGCAAATAGTCCCACAGGGAATTTTATGAAGACTTCATCACATATAGACAATAAGAGCTTCTTCAAAAAATTTGAAAAGCTAGTTATATCACCTTTCACAGTAAAACATCCATGTATTTATATTCTTTCTCACTATTTGGATTAGAAGTCTCACAGGCAGAGGCTTGGCAATTTTGCCTTTTCAGTGTTTTTAATATCAATGTAAATGTTGGTTGGATTTTTATAAGGAAGCTTCATGTTTAAATTCAAGCAAATTAAAGGGAAGTGAAAAAACCACGACACCAAGTACATTATCTTACTGCTTTAGTGTGTCTTAAAACAGGGATTTGTAAGTGCTGGGTTAAATTGGCATTAACAACACACTGATCTCAATGGAATAGCATAATTGATTTTTAAAAACCCGGTAATCCTCATTTATCTGGGCAAGCAATGCATAATTATACACACATACACTAAGACTTCCTTGGGAAAATTAAGAGAAAAAGTGCATAGCTTAAGTACCATTATCATAGCATTAAAACAGCCTTGCCTTTTCTGATTTAGAAGAGCTGCATTTGATGGTAGTGAAACTAATGAAACACAGCACTTTCCCTTTGGATTATGTTGAAATTTGTATTAATATTCATGCAAACTGCATGATTTTGATATATTTTTTGAGGTTGCAGTATATATTCTTCACATCGATTTTCTTTCGAAGGATCGGTTCTTCCAACAACCCAAAGCATAGTAAGAAAATGCATAGAGTCCTCCCTGGTCCTCGGATATACTCAGTAAAAAAGAGAAGAACACATCCCTTAAAAGACATTGCAAGTTTATAAAATAAGGACTTAACTCTGGCTTCTTACATTTTGGTTTTGAGGCAGTTCTGGAAAGAATTTTATGTATCATTCTCATCAGGAACAATTGGAGAATAATTTTGCTTGTCCTTTCCAAGAAACCTAGTCATCAGGGTTAGAGAACAAGGTTATGTTCTTGCCCATCCTTACCCATGACCACCTTCTAGGGAAACCACTTCCAAGCCTTTCACATGTGATGTTTAGAACGTGGAAGATCTTGCCCTCCCAAAAGTCAGCACTGATTATTATAGGTAATATTTGAGGACTCCATACATGTTTAACTTTTATAACAAATCCCTAAAGCTAGGGCTTTTATTTTATCCCTAGTTTGATGAGGAGAAGACTGAGGGAAAGAACTTTCTTGCCCCAACTGAGAGATGGCAAAGCCAAAATTCAAATCCAAGCATCCTGCAGCTAGAGCTTTCCCCAGCTCTAAATCCCTGCAGGACACCTCCTCTTACTTAATAAGGATCTAACAAGCAACCAAATCTTCACACCACCTCCACTCATGCTGTTAACTTTCTTGTTCCTTTTGGGGGGGATCTAGCTTGAAGATGATACTGGCTTGCATTCTTCATTTCAACTCAAACAACAAGAAATCACATCTTTTGACTCTCTTTAAAATTAATGTTAATGTTGTGTGCTCTGATACCTAAACTGTGAGTTTAGGTACTAAACTATGAGTACCTAAATTATTATCCGAAGTTTATATCACTCTTGCATTTCCCTCACAGATTCTTGGGTCCTACTTAAGAGCTTATCATTTTCCCACAAGCCAGCTGGAGGAGGAGGGACTATGCCTTGTCACTCTTGAACGCTGCTCACCTCTGAACCTCATTATGACAAGTCAGTTTCTGAAGCTGGTCTGTAGTTCTAGATAAATGATCATGTGAGGTTTTAAATAAACATACACCATTTACATTATGCTGTTTCTTAAAATTGATTTATCGCCGTCTTCTTTCAGTCCTGCTCTCTGGACATAAAAGACACTGAGCTTTTGCCGTTTACACAAACCAAATCCTCTGTTTGCTCTGATTAAGCGTTCATGGGTCTTTAATATTGTACAGGCTTTAGATTTGGGATTATTCCCTTTGGGAGTGGTGGAATTAAATACATTAGCCTTCAGAGATAAGGGAGGGCACCAGAGTTTAATTGCCATTAAAATAGATATGGTGTGTAACAAAAATAGAAGGCAGGAAAACAGTCTGCATTCTCATTTGCTGCTACAGCAGTGACTTGCAGCCTTCTTGGAAAGTCTCCAAAGCTGATGGCCTGGAAGATGTAGGAAATAGGTGAACATCGATCGTGCAAGGGGACAAGAAATTTCTGAGTCCCTAAAACGCTCTATGCCTAGGAACACATTATTGTGAAGAGTGAGAACCTTGGATTTACCCACCACACAGAACCTTCCCACACAGAACCTTCAGTTGTCTCTGAACCAGCACAATTGTCAATCAATGCAGTCCCATGGTATCACCCCAACCTCCTTTACATCTCAGAAGGCATTTCAGAAATGGGAAAGAGAGACCACTTTCCTTGTTGACCCCAATTAGTGACTGAACAAAGAAGAAAATTTCATAGTTAATTCCAATTCGTGCCTTTTTTATTTTTCACTATTTCATAATTGACTGATTAGTCAGTTTTCTTTTTCTATTCATGAATATTGTAAATGGATCTTTGGATCTTGTCACAATTCCCCAGAAGCCATTGGCCATGGGATTGGGCAACTTGTCCAGTTAAGTCAGATGTGATAGAAATGCTCTTTTAAAAAAAAAAGCTGTGTGTGAGCTGCATGTATTTAACTGTCAATTTAAAAACTTTTCTGGCTTTTAGGTTTAAAGCTAGATTGGGAGGATGAACAAAATTAATTCTTGCCCTTTTGACTAAAGAAAATCAAGAGAAACATCTCAGAAAATAGGAGTTTATTGGAAGGGAGTACATATTGAATTAAAAGTATATTAGCCGGATTCATTTATTTGAAATTCTAGAAACAGCAAAACTAATCAATAGTGACAGAAAGCAGATCAGGGATTGTCTGGGGCCAGGAGTGTAAGAGAAGAGGAAGGCGACAGAAAAGGAGCACAGGGAACTTTTTGGGTGTTGGAAATATTGTAAATCTTAACAGCAGTAGTCGCACAAATTCAACTCGTCAATGTGTACACTTAAAATAAGTGCATTTTATTGTATGTCAATTATACCTCAATAAAATTGATTTTTAAAAATATGCTGGCATGAATTACTGAGGAGCCAAGGGAAAACTTTCTAAATCATCTTTTATTTTAATATAAAAGAAAAATAGTTGAGCTAATACTCCAGGAGTCATTAACAGTAGAATGGATTTTTTTTTCCCAAACAAAAATAATATATATCCATCAGCCTTAAGTGCTGCAGCTGACAGGCTGAGCTGTTATTGCCAACTGCTATCTGAGAAGTTTCGAGCTGGCTCTGCGGGAGGAGCTGCAAGCCTTCCAGCCCTCCCCCAGGCTGCGCACAGTTTTTGTTGTTGTTCGCCCGGCCGCGTGTTCATTCACAGTAACGCATCACGAGGCAACCAAATTAATCGCAAAATGTGCTTTAATCTCCTACATAAGCTTGGAAATACGTATCCATCTCGTGCCCAGCTCGCTCCCCGCTGCCCCGTCTTTTTTCTTTCTTTTTTTTTCCCCCTCTCTCTCTCTTTCAAGTGCTGAAGTGGCAGTTCTGGAATGTTACATGTCTCCATTTCCCAGTGCTGGTTAGTCAAGAGAGCAGCAAAGTGTGCACGGTCAGATCAGTCCCAGCACCTAAAGGAGGAGTAGTCCTCGAGATGGAGGGGCCGGGTGCGCGGGATGGGCTGGTAGTTGGAGCTGGCACAGTGCCCTGGCAGCATGATCCGGAGCTGGGCGCTGCACAGGACCCTGGGACCCTTCCTCCACACGTAGGACGCACCTCCCTGGATACATGTAGAGAGTTTGGGTTTTATGATTCAACAGTTGATAGTGAGCATCCCCCCC